TCTGCACTATCCCTTACAACTGTACATTACCCAGATTGCGGCTACGGCCCTAGTCGCTTTCCTTTTTCATCCATGGAGACCGAGCGCTCAACATGCCAGCGAGCAAGACCAGCGTAGGAAACGACCAGTTCAAGGTGGACTGTTATTGGCCGCTTCGAATCTCCTGCAAGCGGTATCTGCATTCTGCATAGTGCAAGCAATCCTGCATACTTCGAATCTACCGCTGCTATGTATGATCACGGTATGTTCTCTAGAGCAAGCTTGACATTCGTTCCGCTGACCATATCAGACCATAGCCTTCTTCGCTGAAGGTGTAGTTCTCTATGTGTTCAACTACACACCTCGCTCAAACGCAGAAACCCTGTCTTTGAGCTTGCTTGCCATAGCTTGTGCTGGTGTCCTGTTCATGGAATACCGACTAATGGTACCAAGCTTGATCGCATCGATCTTGGCAATGCTCCTCGTTGGTGCAGCAAGTGCATTGAAGAAGCTTGCTGCTAGACACTATCCGGGAGAATATGCTACCCGAAGCATGAACGCAATGTTGCTCGTTGTTATGGGCGGTCTGCTTGCCTTGTTCTGTCTTGTCAGCAACTTCCCGGGCGAGCACTGGGACTCATTCGACACAAGCAGCCTGCCTCTCCGCGCTCTGAATGCCTTCTCAACAGCAGCGGCATTGTTGAGTGGGGGCTCGATACTCTTCCCAATGGATATCCAGTCAGGAGGCCAACTACCCGGAAGCAGCTTTGCTGCAACACAACGCGTCCGCAGCGCCACGACAATTCTAGCCATGGCAGCTATCACCGGCTCTTTCACCGTTCTGTCAACGCGCCGATCCTACACCAGCTTTTACCAACTATCATGCTTTTTCCTCGCCATCATGTGCGCCTGCGGAAAAGACATCTACGACACAGTTTGGAAACAGTCCAGTCGTCACGATGGCTCCCGCGGAAGTTACGATCTCGTCTCACGCTCCCCGAATGCACCGATCGATGACGAAGAGGATTTTGATACCAAAGCACAACGAGCATCACGGCCAAGATCGCAGGGCAGCAGTGCTCGCTCTTCTTTGGTCAGCTTGATCTTGATCGTGCTGTGGACAGCATTCGTGAGCTTGAACTTTGGACAACGACAATATCCTCGTGAGGAGCCGCGCCTGGATCTACAATACGAACCCATTGGGCCTTTGGAAGTTGTGATCAGCATGTACAAAGAGCGCACTGAGGATGTTGCTGCGCTCATCAAGAAGTTGGAGAGCATGCCACAAATGACCGAGGCTCTTGTTACGATTTACTTGAAGGACGGCGAAGCAGACGAAAGAAAGATCAAGGCGGAAACGAACGCGCACGAAGTCATCAAGCTACCAAACATAGGACGCGAAGCCGAGACTTACCTGAACCACATCGTCAACCGCTGGGACAGCCTTGCGGAACGAACGATTTTCCTCCAAGCCGACGTTCACAACCCACGAGAATTCTACCCATTCTTCGAGCGATATTTCCGGGCGAACCAGACAGGCTTCCTCAACCTGGGTTGGGCGGGGATATTATGCAATGGCGACGACTGTGGGGACAAGCGCGGCTGGCGTGATGAGACATCGCTGTTCGCGGACGTACAATCCCGGATCGACGGATCCACTCGTGAGAACGTGCTGCTCAGCTACAAAGGCCAGTTCGTTGTCACCGCTGCGCGCATTCGCGGTATCGACAAGTCCATCTATGACGACTTGTGGCAGCTCTTTGTCGACGAGCACAGCTGGGCACACCAAGAGCCCTACCTTCAAGAACGACCCGATTCGATGAGCCAACCCTGGTTCGGATACACAATGGAGAGGATATGGAATGTACTGTTTCAGTGCTCAGACATGGATGTTGCATGGCGATGCCCGACTCTGTTGAGCGGGTGGAGACCTGGTGGTAGCATTGCCGACTGCCAGTGCTTTGATTCAGAATTGGCTGAGTAGGTGGAGAAGCATGCGTAGCGTCTGAGCATTTTTTGTTTGTTTGTTGTGATACCCCTAGACGTCGAAAGGCGCAACGCGATGACGCGAATTTCGGTCGCTTGTTGTTAAATATAGATGACGCGCAATAAGGCGGAATAATAATAGTTTCCTCAGATTCAGTGCGCACAACCTGGGAACGATCATGATTCCCGTCAGAATGCCATACACGCGAGCATGCTTTTTCCTGCCGAGCGGAACAGCATGGCCGTGGAGCCCGCGGACGACCATGCCACGCAAAAAAATGTCATCCCAAAGCGTTTGAGGTCTTCATGCATCCAAGGGCTGCGAATGCAGGAGGTTCGAAGCGCCAAGCTGAAACACTCTGTGCCGGCCAGATCTCGCGTTCCCGTTTGACACGTGATACAGACACCCCACTTTCAATGCTCGCACGGGTGCCGCAATCGATCCTTGCGCACAGGCGAGCCACCACTCACACATGACTCGGCCGCATTGCACAGCCATGGCGTCGCAGATACTCTCCTTTCTCTCGAAACGTTCCATAAGATCACTCGCGGCGACGTTTTGTACCTAGCCGACCAACTTCCTATGCACACACAGGGACATTGCCCGTCTTCGAGCTCTGGAAAGCCTGCGGCGAACCCCGTATATTGAACCTTCTAATACTCCGGGATACCAACCTGCAACCACTATCACATCTTCGGGAACTAAACGACAGCGTTCCTTCCATTTGGGACTAACGGACCCTGCATACGCCATGGCGACCATACAGCAGCGATCGAGCAATAAGCTCTCAGTCTCTTCGAACAGAAGCTCCGATGGTCTCTACAAGCATCGTCAAAGCATGCTCTTCCGAGAACTGGAAATTCTGCTCGAACTCACACCGAGCACCTTCAGCTCACCACTTCTGGCCCTTCCAAGGGAGATCCGCGACCAAATATTCAACTATGTGTTACCTGACCCCACAAGGATTCGTCCGGAACTTCACACTTGCCTCTGGGGTGCTGAGATGTCCAACGGAGAACCCTGGAGACACGACATCTTTGGATATGGATCCTCCGTAGCCAAAGCATCACGACTACGGCCTGAGCTTCTCTTGATCAACAAACAAATCCGGGACGAGCTGCTGCACAACTACTTTCGCCGCAGCAAGATCACCCTACATGCTGAACTACGGAATACGCGGACAAACAACGACTATTTCGAGTTCTCGCAGCACATCCTGCAGCTGCCCATGTTGAAGCATGTAACACATATACGCTTCTACGTTGAATGGAACTACACGACGCTGAAAAACGGAGGGAGGGATCGGATGATGAAAGACCAGACACGTATGACGAAGAATCTCCTTGCCTCCATGGATAAGATCGCCCTGTCACTCCAGTGCATCGAGACGATCGAGCTATCAGTACTCTTCTTCTGGAAATTCAGGAGCGGGAAAATGTACAGTCTTTCCATGCAGGACCTCTTCGACCTCGAAGACGTGTTCAAGCGCTGCGCAGAGCTGCCCTGGCTTGGTTTACTCGGCGAAAATGACGTGCCTGGAAAGAAGAAGACGACTACTTCTACCTACCTCAGCCCGACTTCGGCAACGACGAACTCTTCGGCGGGTGTGGGCTACAAGATGTCGACGGAGAAGAAGGGTACGGAACAGAGTGGAGGCATGGAAATTTGCATCAGCCGTGATCTGGAAGATGCGATGGAAGAGAGGAGAAAGAGTAGTGTTGACTTTTTCGGCAACTACGAAGTCACAGAGCCTTTGCCTCAGCCTTGTTATCGGCATGGTGCCATGATATGAGGTGAAGGCTTCAAAGGAGTATGTTGTTTCATGAAAGGAACATTATTGGCCTTTGGTCGAAGAATACCAGACTCTGCCAAACGACGGCACTTCTGGCACACGAGTCCCGGTCTTACAGCACCTGCTTCGCATGCAGTACCACAATCTGATTATCAACGCTACCACAACGCGAAAAACACCACCACCTACAATACCAGACTTAGTGCAATAACTGCTGTATGCGCAGCGCTTGTACGACGTTCTCAGCACACAAGCTGGTCAGAATGGTTTAGTTTTCACGAATGCGAGTGCATGATGAACTTCGTTGCACAAGCTCTCCACCGTATAGTGAGCAGGGACTGAGGTCACGAATCCGCCAGTAAGGGCAGTAGTATGACCTTGGCCATGCTAGACCCACCAGAGGGGTATCACATCCCGAGTTGTGGCGTGCAATCCACACTAGGCCATGGGGCTCGGCCGAGGCCATTGAATTTGTTGCTAAGCAAACGCGGGGAAGATGGAGAGGGACGGAATTTGGCAAAGATGTCGATTTGAGACCGCTGAATTCGAGCTGCAGTAATAATCGCATGATTGTTGTGACAACGTCGTGTTCTGATGCCTCTGTTATTCTTCTCAGTGATACCCTCCAAGAAGCAAGGTGCAAAGTCGTGAGTGGGGATGACGCACTATCTCGGTAAGGCCTCACGGTAGTCTTCCGCGTCTTGGTGCCCCATCACTGTGCTCATGAACCACACTGTTCACAGTCGTACTGCAGTGGAGTAAGCGGACAATATTCAATAAAGTCATGTTTTCCTTGGTATTACATAGAGTTTATTCGAAGCGCTGCACCTGTGTTGGACCCTTGCTGCGTTGCACCCAACGGAATTAACGCTCAAGATCTTCACCGAGCAAGCCACAGAACATGCGGCAAGCAGGTAGCCGCAACCGATGACACCTCTCACTAGGACTAGCTGCATTTCAATCGTTCTTACTTAACGTTGGCCTCCGTAGCTGCCATCCATGGCGCTGTTGTATTCTACCCTCCCCCGGATTCAAGCCATTCGAGGCAGCCCGTTATCCCCGGACACCCATGTGGACGAGATCTCCACATGCCAACATTATTAGCTTGACAGCATTCGCTTCGCTGTTTTCGACAAATACGTTATAATTGCTTTGTATAACCGAGTGACGCACGACTCAGCGGTGACGCATATAGGGAATTCGTTACCCTGTGAGCTCATACAATCTCTGCGAGCCACCAAGATGCCACAACCAGAACCACCGGGGCTATATCGCCATCCGACAAGAAGCGAGATCATCGACCTCGCCGCAGCAGAAGGCCATGATGCAGACATCCCAAGCAACCTCGGCTCAATACATCAAGTGCCGAGTCATACATCGGAAAGACGGCACTCGCTAGATGAGAAGAAGGGAGAATACACAACTGGCGAAAGAGATGTTGAAAAGGGAAACGACACAGGCTCAATCTCCAGTGCAGACCAACCCGATGCAGAAGAGGAACCTGAACGCGATCCGAATGTTGTCGACTTTGACGGTCCTAACGACCCAGAGAACCCAATGAACTGGAAAGCTTCGAAGAAATGGGGCATGGTCGCGCTCATATCGGCGATTACGTTCCTAACACCTCTTGCGAGTTCGCAGTTTGCACCTGGTGTTCCGGAAGTTATGCGCGACTTCAACTCGACGAGCGATCTGCTTGAAGGCTTCATGGTCAGCGTGTACGTTCTTGGCTTTGCGTTTGGGCCATTGATCATTGCACCACTTTCGGAGATGTACGGTCGACTGCCATTGTACCATAGCTGCAATTTGCTGTTTATTGTGTTCACGATTGCGGCTGCAGTGGCGAACAATATGGCGCAGTTTGTTGTGTTCCGATTTCTCATGGGCTGCTTTGGAGGAGCGCCCATGGTACTTGGTGGAGGGACTATTGCAGACTTGATACCACGAGAACAGCGTGGCACTGCCATGGCTGTCTGGATGATGGGTCCAACGGTAGGGCCTTGTGTCGGTCCTATCATCGGTGGCTTCTTGACAGTAGCCAAAGGCTGGCGGTGGAACTTCTGGTTTGTCGCTATAGTTGGCGGAGCATTCTTCATCATGTCACTCATTCTGATGAGCGAGACATCTGGCATTATCATCCTACAACGGAAAGTCAATCGTCTCAAAGCCGAGACCGGGAACACGAAACTACGATCTAAGTTGGATAGCGGCCTCACCCCACGCCAGCTCTTCAAATTTTCGATCATCCGACCTGCCAAGATGTTGTTCCGCTCAACTATCTGCTTCGCCATCTCGCTCTACATTGCGATTACATACGCCTATCTTTACATTCTGTTCACCACATTCACTGCGGTATTCAAGGGCCAATATGGCTGGCATGGCGGCATAACTGGTCTCTCATTCCTCGGCCTCGGCATCGGCTCTCTCATCGGACAATTCACCTATATCCACTATGGCAATAAAGTGGTACACAAGCACATGGCGCGCGGCGACTTCCGACCTGAACATCGGTTGAAAATGATGTGCATCGGCGGCTTCTTCATTCCTTGCGGTCTTTTCATCTACGGCTGGAGCGTGCAATACCAGACGCACTTCATGGTGCCTATCGTAGCAACAGGCATCATCGGGTTCGGTCTGTTGATGACGTTCATGCCTGCGACTACGTACTTGGTCGACGTGTTTACTGTGCATGCGGCGAGTGCCATGGCGGCGAGTACAGTGTTGCGCAGTGTTGCAGCAGCCTTTATCCCACTGAGTAGTCAGACGATGTATGCGCAAATGGGCTACGGTTGGGGCAACACTATGCTGGGGTTCATCGCTACGTTACTGATCCCGATACCATTCTTGTTCATCAGGTACGGAGAGAACATCCGCGCTAGAAGTACAGTCAAACTATGAACACATGCTATAAACTGTAGACTTAGATAGACTCATATACAACAGCAAACCAAATTCTATGCCTTGGTCTTGACAAAGGGCTGCGATTCGGTCATGATCCACGACTCCCGCTACCTGACTCGTATAGGCTATATGCAGCCTCGGTGTGTACTCCGAAGCCCCACCCAAGGTCTTGCTGAGCAACATTGGAAATACGACGTCAACAGAACCCTGGCCGCGTCTTGCCATAAGTAGAAACCCGGAAGTAAATATTGGTTCCGCAAGCGCTCTATCAATCGCTCTGATTGAACCTTAGTCTCCTACATCAACACGCGACTCGCTCCGCCGCTCACGGAAAGTAAGACCTACTTCACCATGGCATCCTCACTACCAGAGTCCAACACATCTCTCACATATACGCAACCTTCATCTCAACCACATCTTACACATACACCCATACCGAAGCCGGGTCCCCAAGAAGTCCTAGTGAAGATCAAAGCCGCAGCTATCAACCCCGTCGACATCCAACTATGGGGGAACCCCGTAATCGGCTGGCTAGCAGGCAAGAAAGAAAAGGGAATAGGACGCGACTACTCTGGAGAAGTCGTAGCCCTGGGCGAAGAAGCAAGTAAGAGCGGGAAATGGGAGGTTGGTGACGAAGTCTTTGGATTGTGTAATCGACCTGTAAGTCAATTTTGTGCCTGGCACGGCTTTCGGTTGGAGAAGAAATACGTTGGTATTAACGTGAATTAGATGGCAGAAGGAACATTCACACAATACCTCTCCATTAACCCAACCTCAGAGCCCATCGCAAAGAAACCCACCACCCTTTCCCACCACGAAGCCGCCGCCATCCCTCTCGTAGTCCTAACAGCATTCGCCTGCCTCGACTGGCTCCCCTCCGCATCATCCTCCCCCTCCCCCTCCCAACGCCGCGTCATCGTCTCAGGCGCAAGCGGCGGCGTAGGAATGTGGTGCGTGCAACTCGCCAAAAAGCTCTATTCCTGCCACGTAACCGGCATCTGCTCCGGCTCCAACGTCGATTTCGTGCAATCACTAGGAGCAGACGAAGTCATCGATTACCGCACACAAGACGTACCCAACTCGCTTCTTTCCAAACGGCCCGGCGGCACGAAATACGATTTGTACATTGATTGTGTGGGCGGCACAGAGATGTTTGCGCATTGGAATGAGCTTCTTCATGCGTCGGGCGCGTATATTACTATTGTGGGGGATAAGACTTCGAGGACGGCGATGGGCGGGCCGTTGACGTATTTTACGTATCCGTCGCAGGTGATGAGACATGTTTGGGGGTACTTCTTTGGGCCGAGGTATGCAAATGTTATCTTGTATCAGAAGAGTGAGTTGCTGGAGCAGGTCAGGGAGTTGGCTGAGAAGGGCGAGGTAAAGGTTGTAGTACAAGATGTCGTTAAGGGGATCTTGACAGAGGAAGGATGTAAAGAGGGGTGGGAGCAGGTCAAGGGGTATATGGTCGAAGGAAGAGTTAGGGGGAAGATCGTTGTTGATGTTGCGTAGGTTCTATGACCTGTGCACCAGACTAGGGAATGAAGTGTAACGATCAATTAAAGCAAATTACCATCTATGTACTATTGGGTGTATCACGCCGGGTATCAAGGGGGGTAATGAGACGCTTGAGCACGTGTGCTCAGACGTTATAACGAGAGAAAGAACTGTAAAGGAAAAAATGTTGACAGATCCGTCAAGGAGATCCTCACATAAAGGCGACGCAGATGTAAACCTTGCTCCTTGCCAGAAAACTCCAGCCCGCAGCTAGCCCCTACCCAGCTGTTTTTCGTGAATGCATACTCCAGTCGTCCGAGTCGTTACCGTAGAGCTCCCATAACCCAGGTCGTTCAGTCGTTGCCGTGAGACAATCAGTTGTACTTCAGGAAAGTCGTGGGCTCCTGCGATGTGGCGGCTGCAGCAGGAATCCTGGCGTCACCAACGGTTGTCTTGGGATATTCGCCCGGGACATGCAGGTCGCTAACGCTGATGTCGGTGTTCATCCGCTTGCCCATGCCAGGGTGCGCCATCTCCTCTGCAGTATCCACGAGGCCCACTGGGACGGGGCCGCCGTTGACAGTCTCGCCGAAGGCAGGTGCCCCTACCTCAGACTCGCCTAAAAAAGACGAAGGAGCTCCTGGTGTATCCAACCCACTTACATGCTGGGATTGAGTGTGGCCATCAAAGACCGGCGCAACGATCGGAGCAGGGGTTGGCTGCACAGCAGGGGCGACGTAGCCTGTGTCGTCGATTTGGTCGGGGAGGATATGGTCAGGATGCCGCTCGGGGACTTGCGTAGGGGTGGCATCTGGGAAGTCTACCGCGCGAGATTGTTCGACTGGATATTGCTGCTCTTGGTTGAGCTGCTGGGCCTCGTAGTGTTGTTGCGCCAATTGTTTTTTCCGCAATGCTTCGTTTGCAAGGGCTCCGGTGGCTGCACCCCCAACAGCAGGCGCCAACCAGTTGCCGTAATGAGTACTATCTTTGCGTTGGATAGGCTCAGCATGTGCCAGGGATGGCTGGTTGTACTGGTCGACCGAAGTTGGCTGGACAGGGTAAGCCTGAGAAACAGGGGCGTATGAAGGGTTGTCGACAGTCTGAGGGGCGTATGACTGCTGGGCTGGTGTGTATGGATTTGCGAAGCTGGCCTGCTGTTGGTATTGAGCGGGTTGGCTGTACTGGACGGGCTGGACGGGCTGAGCTGGTTCGGGCTGGTAGGCTGAGGTTTGGGCAAGATACATCGGGTGCACATCCTGGGTCGGACCTCCAGACATGGTGTTTAGATCATTGCCGACCTCTGAACTTCCGCTAGATGGCGATAAAGGCGCTTGTAAGTTACGGTTGACCATCAAATCAGACGGGAATCGCCCACCTGGAGAAGGTCGGGAAGGTCGCTCAGACTGATCCCGGTAGGCCTGTTCCTTCATGGACTGGTTGGCTGAGAAAGGAACCGCGTCTGCCTCGTCTTCCTCTAGTCCGCCATCCGAGCTGGCTGAACGGGCGCTGCCGGCGCTGGTACTCCTGACGCTTGCATGGCGACGGACAAAGGCGTTGCGCTCTTCTCCACTCTTCTCAGTCAAGGCCTTGATATCTTCAAACCATGCGACCATGGTGTCGTACGTCTCCGCCCGGAACACCCAAGTATGGCCACGATGCATGGATCCAGCCTGACGGCCTTTAATAACGAACTTGTGGGAGGAACTTCCGGGCTGGGAGCGAGAACCAAGCTTCTGGTCTGGCAGATATAGGGACATGACTGGAGGCTGAGTGTAGATGCGGTCGGCGGATTTGAACTCGTGGAGATGCGTTGGCGACAAGACGTACCTAGAAAGTGTTAGACTGGGAAGGTTGTCAAGACTAAGTTGCTTACCATCCTGGTGTGTACGACTTGAGATATTTGCTCTTCCGCTCGAGCATGCCCGCTCTGACCTCGGTGGTAGCAGGGTGGTGCTTGCCAGGGTACTGGATGTCTTCCAGTCTGCGCAACGGCATGTCTGGGTTGACGAAGTGAGGGTCGCTTCGCACGAACCTGCTCCATTCGAGATCGCGCGGCATGGCGATCGGGCCATTGCGCAACCGCTCTACCGTGTTGTACTGCTCATCAGCATCGCGCTTCAAGATGGTAGCAAGAGCGTTGTAGGCTTTCTGGACTTCGCCAACGACGATCGACTCGAGTTCGCGGCCGGAGTTTTCAAGGTTGAGGTAAGCCTGTATACGTTAGTTGAGTCGCCCCTACAAGTGCAATAACTGACCCTGTGGAGGTAGTTCTCCTCATCAATCTGCCTCTCCACCTGGCGCTCGACACCCAGCCGCACGACATAGGGATCTCCCTTGCCTGCAACTGCCGTGGGATCGGAGTCGGCCAAAGCCAGCGCCTCTTCGAGTGCTGTTACACACTTCCTTGTGGTCTCCTTTTCCTTCTCGACGTTGTTCTTGAAGTCGCCAGACAGCGACTTGATCTCCTTGATCTTCTGCGCAAGATCAGCCCGGAGGCCGCTGAGCTGGTTGATGACGTCGGCCTCAACGTCCCGCGCCTTGTTGGCCTCGAGGATGGCTTGCTTGTGGAAATCGCGGAGGATGCGGTTGGCGTCGTTCAGACCTCCTTCTATGAGGAGGGCGGCGGGGGCATTGGTGTTGTTGATGACGTTCGAGACCTTCAACAGCGACTTGGCGCGGTGTTCGTATGAAGATGCAACCTCACGGAAGTAGGTAATGAGGTCCTTGAGAAACTTTCGCCAAGCTGTCAGGTGTCAGTAGGTTTCGCGGACCTGTCACGTGCCCAACATACTCTGGAAGCGTTCTGCTAGTATCTCGGTGGGGGTGCCTTTGGTAGGTACAGGAGTGTAGAAGACACTGTCCTCGCGATCGTAGCCATGCTCCTGGTCGTCAATGGTCACGCCGCGTATCGAGCCCGCGTGCATGGATCTCCTGCTCCCACTACGCTTCATGCTGCTTGCCCTCTTGACAGAGTTCTTCTTCTTGAGCGTGCCACTTCGCGAAGGGGTTGCGCCCTGGTTCAAGGTGGAGGAGCGCGAGGACGAGCGCTGGTGCATATCACCCTCGATGACGGATGAACCACGTGTGCGCGCATCGAAGTCCTCCTCGAACCGCCCCAGGCGCGAACGCTCATTTGGGGCGCTTAGTGGTGAGTTTCCAAAGTCATTCACAGCGGAGGTGCCGTAGCCGCGGCTGAGATGGGCTGGGTCGTCGATGTGCGGTACGGGGTCGTAGGAGGCCGACGGGGTGACTGGGCGCTGAGTCGCCATGGTGGGAGCTGCCTGGTCGTGGATATTGGCTGCGGCGACGGTAAGGTAGACCCTGACGAATATATGTAAGAAGACGTTCGCAAACAACTGCAACCCTGAGCCGCGTTCGCTGTGGCTGGCGATGACGTGTGGAGTCGCGCTAAGGGGTGAGATGCCTCGGAGGGGTCGAGGCGCAGATTGCGAGAGCCCGAACCGACATGGCGCCGCACATCAATCAATACTTACTGCTCG